AAGGTGGAGTATATTATGTTTATGCTTAGCCTGCAACGAAAATATCCACAGCTAATATACTTACTTCTCTTCTTGAACGAGTATCAATACAGACACAACAACAACATTATTATGCCTTAAACTATAAAAAATAATCGCAAAAGACAGAGATTTCAATTCATTGCCTAGACCAATAAAGGAGTAGCGTATACTGAACCATACATACGTAGAAACGTTTCTTATCAGTTGATTCAAGTAGGAAATAAATATAAATACAAATGTCTATACACTCTCTCTCTCTCTCTCTCTGTGTGTCTCCCTATTCCTCTCTATCTCAAGCAGTTCTTTTAATCTGAGCATTGATATGATTGCCACTTAACTGATTAACAATTTTATTTATTTATAAATGTATACACGCTTGTATATACACATATATCACTATTCATATACTTATGTTATTTTTTGTAGCATTTTGTAAAAAAAAAGAACCAACAACCAATATATTATTTTTAATTAGTTATAGTTAGTTAAAGTTTGTTAATTGCTCCTGTAATTGGATTTGCATGCTTCAGTGAGTTTTTGGTGAACCTTTCGCGTTTTCATACACAAATATTATGTGTATTCAAGTGCGGCATGCCTTTTGCTAAATTTAATTGTCGCAGGAAGGTCTGAGCGGTTTTTTGTCAAAGCAAAAGTTGTTTTTCTCTGCCTCTCATCTCTTTTTGTTTCACACAAAATTCCAGGAATTAGAAAGCGCAGATAAAGTCGCAGTGCAGCATCTCTGCTGCTGCGGCTACTCCATTTGCTGGAGCATTTTGTAATTTGTTTATCGGCCGTCTCGAGTGCTGAATGCAGAACAGTGCCTGCCATTGTATTCGGCAATTTCCCAGAATTTATGAATTATAATTTCGCTTTATAGACAATTTTAATTGAGCTTTTTATGGCCTGCGTCGGGGCGGCAGCGTCTTCCTCAAGGGATGCCCGTCTAACTGGACAGCGTATAGGATTCCAATGCAAACAGAGCCATTTGTAAGCCATTTGTACCCGCTAACGATAGCGACTTCCGCTGAGGCCGCCGCAGCACCCGCACCAGGACTCTGATGACAGCCCGCATCGATTCATAAGACCAAAATCCATCGGCAAATATTGGCAGGGCAGGGCATGTTAGGAGCAGGGGCAGGGGTAGGGGTAGACCGGGTAGGGCATGACTGGCCCTGACGAAAACAAAAAAAATGAGTTTATGATTTTTTAAGCTGTTTGCCAGAGCTCTTCACATTTCGTAGGTGTTTGCTTTTCATTAACAGAAGCGACAGAAGCGCAGCTACTACCGATCGCAGTCGATCTCTCGCCGGCTTGTTTGCCTTGATTAGCTGAGTGACTGAGTGGAATTGGCAGGATGCGGATACTCATTAGAGACAAAGTAGCTCTATCTTACGAATTTATTCTTTATAGACATCAGAGCAAACATGGACCAGAGCGTGCACTGAAGTAGCCCAAGCCCAGTTTTGTCAGTGATTTTTTTGTTTTTCCGTTTTTTATGCGTAACTTAAAATTAAATAAACAATAATACATGCATAGGTATAGAGTATGTCTACGTGAAAAGTGGGCTCTCTACATTCGAAGGTTTCCAAAAGCAAACAAACACGCAAAATAAACCCAACGGCAACGGCAACGGGCAAACACTTCAGCTGCACCTGAGCTGGGAGCTGGCTGCCCCGCTCATCGTTCATGCATCGGCCTCTGATCGTAACCGACGCGACTCTCTCGAATTTGAATCCTCAACGGCGGTGGCATGTTTGCACCTTTAATAAGACCAGCCGACCAAGCCAACCAGACAACAGCAACAAGAGCAACAACAATGCAATGCCGACGGCGGGTCATTGTGGCACGATCGGAAGGGTCACTGCAGGCGGCGCGACAGTAGCTCCGAGTTAAATCTCTGTAGACTCTCAGCTAAGTAGTGTTTGCTTTCCGCACGCCCATTGCAATAGAATCTTTAAATACATATGTATTTACTTTGTTTCCATATATTGTTTTTGTGGGGTCCCTGATGCTGAAACTTGTTTTTTTAACAAGATCATATCATATTTAACAGCTGAATGCTAACTTTTATTGGACAAACTCTATGATACGTTTGTAGATGCATGACAATAATTTATCAAAATTTGCGTTTGGGACAAATTTGTGTTTGGCACGTCGCGAATAATCTTTGCATATAAAGTTCTTGACTCATCTCGAGCCCCGATCGAAGGCGAATTATGGGGAATTGAATTGTAGCGCTAATAGCAAAAATACGTGACTAATTTGACTGCAGGCTCCGGCTCCGGCTTCATCTCTGGCTCAGACTCTGAGTCGGCCGGATGTTAATGCCCATTGGCCATAAATCACAAAAGCCGCACATTAGCTTTCCATTGTGGGCTAAAGATCATCAAGCGGGAATGATAAGCCCATATGGAACTGCTGCAGTTGCAACTTTATCTCCAGCTCAAGTTCAATGTGTTTGAGTCCGGCAATTTTTCGGGCTAGTTAGCTTGGAGCCCTGTCTTATCGAGGCATATTCATAACTCAATATAATAATTAACTAGGCGCACGCACTTCACATTCGAATGCACTATGGGAAAAAAGTACGATATTTTGGCATTAATACAATTTTTTTGTTGTCTCAAACCGCTAAAGAAATATTTTTTTCCAATTCTAAATTCATTAGATAGAATCAAAATATTTTTGTTAAATTTTTGGGGACTACCCCTATTATTTGATAATTTTACAAAGTCAGATGATTCAGCGCTGCATTGCAATGTGAAAAAGCGCGCCAAATAGATCGCAACTTTTTAGCTGTATAAAATTTATTTGTTAATCGCATAAATTAAAACTTAATATGCAAAAAGTTAATAAAGGTATATATAATAAGTGTCCGTAGTGATTTTGTATACTTCTGTGTTTTTGTGTAACTGTGCAATGTGTTGTTCATGTGTATTTTTAGCTTAATCCTAACAAATATGTTTGTGTTCTGTGGAGTATAACTTTAACAGTCCTCGCTAGGCCTCGGCAGTTTTAGCTGAGGGTAATTAACTAAACCATATACTATAAGGACCCATTAATAACTTTTGCCCGTTTTTGCCCCTTTTCCCGAAAATTGACATGTTGTAGTTGCGCTTGAGTTTAGACGTTCAGTGCTGCTGGAAATTTGGAGATGCAACAACCGCCAAAACGACGTTGTAATATCTTTTATTGCCAAATCTTTTAACAACAATGTGAACGAAGATCTTAAAAAAATTATCCAAAAAGAAGTCGAGGAATTTATTCACTATATAAAAAAATGTTTGTTGAAATGCAATAGAATGTTAGATCGATTTAAAGTTAAACATTCTACTTGGCTTGATGGCAATGTTGTAATTGCGTTTGGTGAGCACGAGACGTCTCCAAATAAAGCTGGACGTAAATATTTAAATTATGAAAATGCAGGATGTCGTTTAAAAAGAAAGTTATCATCAGAGCTTGCGTCAAAGGAAAATTACGAAACTCCACTCTTAATGAAGCCAGAAATAAAATATACAAGAATGACAGAAGATCTCATGCAAGAAAATGCAGCAGATTGAATAACATAACTGATGTTTTCAACAGAGCATTAGACTCGTCGGATCCTCTATTATCAAGCCTCTGCCTAAATGAACGCCAAAAATTAAATAAAAAAAGGAATATTCCGAATGAAGTCGTTGCACTATTTGAATCTCCCGATCATATTTTGAAAAATCATGAAGGTGATTCAAGTGACGAATGGACAGAAGACGAGGATATTGCATTTGATATTAAATTAGAAGAAGAATGTGACTAATTTTAGTTCAACAATATGAAAATATGAAAAGAACTGTCAAATTCATACTAACGGCAAAAAAATATCAAGGAAAAAAATTATAGGGGTCAAATCAGGGTCAAATTGAAAAAACCAAAAAAATCCGAAATTAAATTAAAGCCTGACGAGCATCCACAAAAAATTTCATATCTCTAGCTCATTATTTGGAATTAATGCCAAAAAAATGGGATTTTTTCCCATAGTGGAATGGTCAACTCTGGCGCCCATTAATCTTTAATAATTGCCGAAAATTGATGTCATGCGTATTTGAAAAGCCATTCAAATGACGCAGTAAACATTGATCTGAAACAACAGCAACAAAAAAATGGGGGGGAAATGAATGCGAGGAGGCGCACCATTCATCGGGGCAGACTAAGACTGAAAATATTTGTGGAGACAAATTTATGAACGTTTAGCACAAAAGTCAAGCACTCGAAGATAATGTTGTTGAGTAGAGCAACAAATTGCAGCTATCAATGCGGATGCCACAAATGCCGGAGCAGTCGAAGTCGCAGAGGCAGGCGCACAGATACCCCGCCGGATAGCAGGCAGACGAAGTAGAAAATAAAAAACAACAACTGCTACGGCAAAGGGAACATTTGTCGAATGTGTATGATCTTTGGCGTTACTCCTGTGTGGCTCTGTGCCTGTGCTACGTGGGCCCCCTTTGTAACTCAATTCGAAAATAATTAACGATCGCAAGATTACAAATGTCAAACATAATGTCAAGTTGGGCTGCCGGCGTCTCACATTGGCTGTCACTGGGAAAATGCCAGGCGAAATGTTCAAAGGCGACAAACAGCACAGGAAAACCACCGAGCCTCAAGCTGAATGGACCGACCGACCAGCCACACCACAGTGAGTGTCTCTGCTCGCACCACCAGCCACCAGCCACCAGCCAGACGAACCAGACGGCAATGCGTGTGGGTCTGCGTTGAGCGCCAGCCGATTTGTTGTGACTTATGTCAAAACAATTGTGTGGATCTTGATCTGGCGGCTGTTGCATGCCGAGTGGCTGCTTCTGGCTGAGATTTGGCTGGGATTAGCAACACAACACTTGGCTCAACTCTTGTTTCATAATACACATACATATGCATATGTACATGTACATATATTAAATGCCAAATTTACACTGCAAATAGCTGCAATTCATCAAAGACTAAACGAGTCCAAGAAATGTCGGACATATTCTATTCGTATAACCAAATCCCTTTAAGCAAATTGAAACTTAAATTAATTAAACTGCCTGAGCGACGTTAGTTAACGAGCACCGGGGGCAGGCGGAGCGACAGCAGTTGTAGCAGCAGGAGGAACCACCGCAGCTGGTGTAGTTGCGGCAGGATTCGCCGTTGGGGCAGCAGTTGGAGCACTCGGAGTAGGTGCAACTGTTGCTGGCGGACTGGTAGCACTCATGTTGTTCGCCTGGCCCACAATAACCGTGCAGTTGCGACAAATTACTAGAAAAGTAAATCGGATTAATAGGTGAACTTAAAGGGAGAGTCGCTCGCTTCATACAATACTCTTCCGACTCGTCGCTGTCGTAGTCCACGAATAGACTCGATATCCAATCATAGACATCGTTCTTCTGCAAAGATATATATGTGAGTGAGTCATGAGTCATGAATCGTGGGGAGTTTATATTTACCGTTCTAGCTGCGCGCTCCTCCGCAGGATTTGCCCCCGTTGCCTGGGAGTGCAGCACGAGGCACAAATAGAGCAGAATAATCAGTTTAGTTCTAACTAGCATCTTGACTCTGACTGGCAGACGAACTGTGGGATCTATCGGTTTTTATAGAGCGCGGCTAGTTTATTGTTTCTCAAATGCGTCTGTTAAAAACTTATGCAAAGCAAATAGTTATTGCCTTTATGATGCTGGGTTTTCGCACTAGTCCCAGCGGATGATCTATGCATAGCTCTATATCTGTAGACGCGGCACTGCTCTCAATGAAACTCGACTTTGTAGGTGGATTATTATTTATGCAGCTGCACGTTTCGCGTGGCCCATTTGTCTGGCGAATGGCCCCAAACGGGGCAAAGCGCAAAACGAAAATCGAAAAGAAAAAAGCAAAATGTGATCGAAGTGCAATTGACAAGTGCGCAAATGCATTTAGCCATAAAGTACATGAAATTCGATGCAGTCTGCTGATGCCGCCTGCTGCAGTTCAGTGGGGGCAACAAGTGTCTGAGGGGTTTCCAATTTGGACTGTAATCCGATCCGAGTAGCCGCAACAGTCCCAACACAGTATTTTAATTATGGCAATGGCCAGCGCCTCGTTAAGCTACTGGCCACAATTTTCAGTTATGAATGAAAAAACAATTGAGGTCGATACACTTGTTTTCTGTTCCACAGACGAGTAAGCCCCCGCCCCCGCCCCCTCAGCCACTTTCTCCTCAAACTCTGCTTTTCCTCGCTCAATTCTTCAATTTTCAGGCCTTTGTTCGATTCTTCCATCCACAGCTCGCAGCTCGCAACTTGCAACTTGCAACTTGCAACTTGTGGCGCGTGTAACTCGGCAGCCCTATTGTGATTTTTATGGCGCTCTTTGAGGCACTTTGCTGGCTCTGTACGTGTTCTTAGTTAAACTTGCCTCGTCTTGCATAGTCTTCTTCTTCTTCTTCTTCTTATTGTTGCTGTTGTTGTTGTGTAACTTGAAGCTAATTACATGATTCTAAATTAGACGACGGCATAAGGCGCAGATGTGCAAACTTTTACAAGTGACTGTAATGAATTGGCAGCGGGGTCGGAGTAACTGCGAGAGCAGGTGATACGACCAATTGGCTAAAATTATTTTTCCATAATTATCGGCCATTATTATGAATTGTAATTGTATTCTAGTGCATATGATACTTTGCCTTCTGGTTTGCCACAAAAATTCATTTAAAATTTATAGAAATTAAAAAAAAAAAAAAAAAAAAAAAAAAATGTAATTAAATCTAGCCATATTTCTTTGAGGTATAGAGAATGAAGATAGTTTTCCTTCTGAGATTTGAAAATACGGAAGGATTTTATGCCGATTAGATGTCAAGGGTTAGATTAAATGTCTGCAATATACATATGCATATATTTCAGCAAGATTGGAAGTGGAAGTGGAACTCGTTGAGCGAATAAGATTTTTCCCTAGTATATGGTGTCTTCTGGTTATTACAGTAAATTGGGAAAATAAAAAAATCATTAGCTAAAGTCATTAACTAAAATAAAAATCTTGATTTTTAGCTAGCTAACTGACGTAGTCCCATTGCTTCTAATAAATAATTTTATACTTTGGCTAAGATTATGTACAGCATAATAAAATATTTATGAGGTGCAATATCTAAGAGCTCCCATTTATATAATCTCTGATAAGCCTATTACTACTATATATACTATACTAGTACTACTAAATATTACCTAATACTTATTTCAAGTTATACCATTGCTCAGATAGGTAAACCCCAATGCCGTTGGGACAGCTACAATCTAATCATTGCGCCCATATACAAAATGCATTTCCGCACGTTCGGCGCATTTCTGTGTGTGTGTGTTTTTTTTTTTGTTCGCTATCCCACAAGATTCAAACACACATACACACAGACACAAATGCGTCTACACCCACATCCGCAGTTCTGGGAAGCAAAGTGTTGCGATTTTCAGGCGAACTAGAGTTCCATTGACTTGGACCCGCTCCCGGCCGCCCAGCCGAAGCTAATTAGACGCAAATGTGCTTTTGTTCGCCCTCTCATTAGCTCTGCTTGTAGTTGTTGTTGTTCTTCTTCTTCCTCTTCTTTCTATGCTAACACTCACACACACACATACTGATTCAGTGCCCTGTGCTTCATCTCCTTTCAGAGTCGCAGTGCCCGCAGTACGGCGAAGTGAATCAGCTGGGCGGCGTCTTTGTGAACGGCCGGCCGCTGCCAAATGCGACGCGAATGCGCATCGTGGAGCTGGCCCGGCTGGGCATCCGACCCTGCGACATCTCGCGCCAGCTGCGCGTGAGTCACGGCTGCGTTTCGAAGATACTGGCGCGCTACCACGAGACCGGCTCCATACTGCCGGGTGCCATTGGCGGCTCCAAGCCGCGCGTCACCACGCCCAAGGTGGTCAACTACATACGCGAGCTGAAGCAGCGGGATCCGGGCATCTTTGCCTGGGAGATTCGCGATCGCCTGCTCAGCGAGGGCATCTGCGACAAGACGAACGTGCCCAGCGTCAGCTCCATCTCGCGCATATTGCGCAACAAGCTGGGCAGCATAGGCCATCACCACGGAGCTGGCAGTGCTGGCGCCGGCAGCGCAGCCATCGGCATGGGCAGCAACGGCGGCAGCGGAGGCAGCGCAAGCAGCGCTAATGTGGCCAACGTCAATGCCGTGCAGCACACACACTCCGCGCACCAGCATCACTATCATCACCAGCATACGGCAGCCGCGGTGGCGGCCAGCGCTCATCATGCGCACGCCCACGCCCATCTCTACAATTCCATCTACCAGCCGTATAGTGCGGCAGCGGCGTACAGCATGAAGGCCGTCTCCTGCGGCAGCCCCTCGCCGCCGCAGGCGGGGCAGACGCATCAGCTGCGCAGCGTGGCCGCCGCCCACTGGCCCTCGTCGCACTCGGTGACCGACATTCTGGCGCACCACCAGGCCGTTGCCCTGCGCGCCAGCTGCCAGGGCAACACGGTGTCCCCGTTGCCCATGACGCCGTCGCCGGTGGGCGCCGCCAACGGGGGACAGCCGCTGCTGGACTGCGAGGGCGGAGCGGCACAGCAGCCGCCCTACAACTACTACATGTACTTTCAAAATGGCGGCATGCACCACCACCACCACCACGGCGGTATGATGACGGCCGGGGCAACTGGCTTATGAGGCAACGGCCCATCCTAGTTCCTCCTGGTTCGGTTATTGTCAGTTGGACTGGTTTCGAATCGCGTCCAGCTGTGAGTGAGTGCAGCTCGAATTGTTAGTCAGGCATGAGTGAAGGGTTTAACTACGGTATACATATACATATATATACTTATATATATATATATAGGATATATACCTACATACAGAACATACATATATGATTAATATACGCGATTAGCTTAAGGCTCTAGACTAGGGATCGCACTTGAATATCAAACTAACACTTAAGCCGAAATCACATATTGCTCCAGTACTTATGGGATGAATATATTTTGGCCAAGGGATCTAGATACTAGGTAAGCGTACTACTGTTAGGTCTGTTAGGTCTGCCAGGTGGGACCTGCGGCTCCGGGGAGCTCTCTGTTTCAACGAATTTGATGTATGTAATTCTGGAGATTTTCATTTGTTTTTCACATTTATAGCAACTTTTCGATTGTTCGAAGAAAGTAATAAAGTATTGAGTTGTGTTATAATATGTAAAAACTTTATTATTACATAGGTTCTTGTTCTCATAATTATTTGTACAATATGCTCTTTAAGTAAATTCTAGTTGACTATTTATGCCATAAATCTTAAAGAAAAATTTTAAAATAAATTTGTTTTTTTTAGCAAAAAAAAAAACAAAAAAAAGTGTCGATTTTTATAATAACTATGCGGTAAAAAGAATTGACAAGAATTATGCTCTGATTGAAGGTGGAGCTTACCTCAATCTTTCTTCTTTTCTGAGTATACTTTATTATAGAGTGTAGCTTCGAGCTTTAAGACACTATTCTGATACTCATTAACAAATCATTTTTTTATTAAGTGCGAATTTGTGTGGAAGTGCAAGTGCTGGAGTGGGGATGTGCATGGATGTTCGCGAGGAACTGTGCAGTTGGATGGTTGTGCCAGGTTAGGGATACGAGGTGCTAAGTGTGAAGGAGGGAGTGTGTGCTAGAGGGTAAGGGTTAGGTGCATGCTTTGCCTATGTGTGGTGCAGGTGCTTTGAATAACATAAATGTGCTTGACTTTAAGTTTGTGTCTTTATTTCTGGTTTCCCAGTAGTGTCCCACCATGTGTGGTATTCACTTTGTTGCGGTTTCTCAATGAGGTATGCAGCAGCTGTTGGCCAAATGGAGCAGCCGTGTTCCCAAATAGGCTGTATGATTGAAGTCATGATGGAATGAATGAAATGACAGCAATGTTATCTGTGTAGGATAGGTTGTATAGTGTAGGGCTAAAGACACTGGATAATAAGAATGTGAAAGTGGATAGTAAGGATGTGGATGTGGATAAGGATAGATAAGGACAAAAAGGGAAAGAACAAAATTAGGATAGGCAGAAAGTGTTAGTAGGTGTTTTAGGTTAAAAAGAGGTTAGAAATATATGTGTGAACGTGCGCATGTCAGCATTGTATGAAGCATATTAGTTTTACATCCAACCCAGTGATGATGATTAGTGGAAAGTGGAAAGAGGGGAAGGTCTGATGCTAGATCAAATTTGCTTTCATTGTCATTAGGTATCAGCTTTGATACCAAGTCCAGTGAATTGGGAATTCGCTCAATCTCGTTTGATAAGTGGATAGAAGAGATGATTCCCAAGCATTATGAGCCGTGAACTATGTGATGAGATGGGTTGCGCAAGCGGAGTGTGTCAGGTGCACGTAATATTCGCGAGAAACGACTGCTGCTGTAAATTCTCCAGTCGGTACTTTGATATATGCCCTGCTGCTAAAATGAGACGTTGAAATGATCATCTACCCGTATCATCCATGCTATGGGTTCGTGTTGTTCGTGTCTAATAATCCCGTTTGCCGTCCATTCTTCAATTTGAGTATACTCAGTGTTGATTGCGGTTGTCTTGAGTATATGTATTTACAGTAATATTGCGAGGAATTAAAATTGTAATTAATTCCGATTTAGTAGGCCGAAAGTGTGAGCTTAGGTTTAATGGGGTCCAGACTATGGACAACAGTCGCTATCCTTCGGATCTTTCTGGACATACCCGAAGAAGAAGTAGCCAAAAGAGAGGCCCAAAATCACGGACAGGCACAGCCAATAGTTGAAGTTCATGAAGACCAACATGAGCAAGTAGGAGATGATGAGTTGGATGAAGGTCAAGAGGGTTTGTATGATGTGAGGCATATTGAAGATGCGCTGCCAATAGGTCTTATCCTTGATTTCGGCCAGTTGCGTCTCAGAACAGCCGTTGCAGTCGCCCAAAGCCTTGCGACGCTGCTCCTCGGCCAGTTGCTCAGCCTCCTTACGTGCTTCACGGCGAACCAGTTGAACGCGCAGAAACTTCAGCAACTCGTACAGGAAAGACATCGCGAAGAAGGCAATGCAGGAGAAGGCGAACTCGGTAACGGTGTAGGCCACCCAACTGCGCCACAGAATTCGCTCGCAGTGGCCGCCATGAAACTGTGGGGGCGAGAAAGAGATGCATGTATTGAGCGCACAAGTCGATCACAGGGTGACACATGTAAACTCGATGACTATCGCAACAAATGATAGCATGTAACATGCGTTCTTATCGCCGGAGCACCCGGTATTTCTTAATGTTTGTCTCTTGCTCAACAAACAAACTCATAGGCATACATACATACATACATATGTATACATATGAGCAGAGCGTAAATGATTGCAGGGGCGCGATGCGAGAGAGTGCGAGAGCGAGCTAAAATTAAGCATCGCAGCTAAACGGCTGTGTTTGCATTGTTGTGTGCGTGTGTGTGAGTGCGAGATGTGCTCTGAGTAAAAACTGGCAGATCACAATAAGTATGTATATTAAATGCGATGCTAATTAAAATAAATCTTTGCGCACTCTCACTCTCTCTCTCTCTCTACGCTGCAAAGAATTTTGAATGCACACGAATAAATAAATAAATATGTATGTATGTCTGCATTTGCAAGTGTTGCCGTAAGAGATGCAGTCGCTGATGCAGTTGCTGACGCAGTTGCTGTTGCAGTTGCCGTGAGTGCAATTGAAGTTAGTTTATTGAGCAACTTACCACCATGATCATGGGACAAGTGTGGGCGGCAGCGCCTGTATGCCCATCGTCATGAGCCATCGACATCAAGTCCATTGCGAGATTGTGAATCTAATTCAATTGGACGCAAAGTGAAACAGTATGTTGAGCACCTAAGCTAGTGATAACCGCGTTGACACTTGCTTAACTGCTGAGAACGGAACGTTGACTGCTTGGCAGAAACGAACGTATGGTGTTTTTTAAAGAAAACCTGACACTAATCCCGTCAAGGCGATATCCGATACGCTTATCTCTGAGAAATATGTTTGTTATCAGCCAGCAGCAGCGGACTGCAGGCGGTAATATCATGAGCGATGGCCCACACGCGAGCACCAGCCCAGCGATGTTGACACCAGTAAGTGACAGGTGTGCGGGAGAGAGAGCAACAGAGAGACGGGACCAGCAGCAGAGAGAGTGGGTGAGAGCGGGAGAGCAGACACATGCAAATGATTGCCCATATGTATTGCAATCAGTTAGAGATCTGCATGCTGGGTAGTTGGCTATAATCATCAAATCATCATCAGGGTCATATACCTGATAAGCGTCAGAAAGTTTTATTATTCTTGGTGAAATTTAACTCATAGAATGATATATGGATTTGTTAAAGTTCAATTTATGTGGCTATTAAGATTATTGTTAACTGGTCAAAGTATTTTTTTTTTTATTGTACTCGGGCTGGTAACTACTGTTTCAATAGCGACCGTCGAGGAGCGTATTTGCTTGATGTCTGCATTAGGCCCACTTGGCTTTGCCCATGTTTTGTTCCTAACTGCTGCCTAGCCGCAATCCAATAATGGCCGAGTGCAAACACTTCTTTACGGCCGTGTGCAAAAGTTACGGTTATTCTTTGCCGTGTGCAGACATCGAAAGATTGGTGCCGTGTGCAGCAAATCGGTAAACGATATTCGACTGATCTAAATGGTTGGGTCATTCGATGGAAAATTGGTAAAAGCTATTGCCAAAAATTAGCCTAAAAAGCTATAGCAAATATTGACTATTCTGACTGACTATTATGCTATAGAACTTCAGTAAACTTAAAAAAAATAAATAAAAACACGCACCCATGAGGCTAATTTGAATATATATACATATATATATAAATTTGTATTTAAAAAAATACAATGCTTACAATATTTCTTATTATCAGATATATGATTCAGATTATAATATTCATCTATACAATTGCCATTTAAAGATCATATATTTTAATTTCTCATTTTTAAACATTTGCTAATAAATCATATTTTAAATGTATGTTAAATTACTTAAGACTTTAAAATACCAATAAAAATCTGTAAGATTTTTAAAAGAGAAGTAAAGAACCTCAATACAAAATACGTTAAACAAAATATTTGAAATATGGGTAACTATTTTTGCAAAGCATTAAAGGATCATTATTTGTTGATGTGGCAGCACTCTATATCTGCTTCTATAACACAGGGAAATTTTAAGAAAGTATTTTTTCTGATTTAGAGTGAGTATGCTTTAATTGTGATGTATAGCTATATTATGAAGACTATGGAATTGAAACTGATTCAAGATTTCTTAAGCTATAAACATAAACAGGAGCTAAAATTCTCTGGGAATAATATCGATAACATAAATATTATGTTTCAAATGACGATATATCGATAGTATATTTCTAAGCCGCAAAAGAGAGAAATTCTTGCCATTTGTTACATGCGAAGTGGTGCCGCGGTAGATAGAATCTGACTGCGTTCCCCAATGTGTACAGTATTCCAATAAGAAAGTCACTAAACACAGCAGTAATATGTTTGCGTTACGACACTTGCGACTACAAGGCAGGGCTAAAATACATTTGCCATATGCTGCGATGGCAACAACTGCAACAGCAACAACTACAAAACACATGCCAGCTGTGCCGGCGCGTGTCTATGTGGGTCTACATACATACAGCAGCGAGTATCGCATGCCAAGACTGCTGATGCTGCAGGAACATATGACAAGTTGGAGGCTCCACCAAAGAACCACAACAACGCTGTCGAAATCTTCGAACCAGGAGAGGAAGACGCCGCATAAAGCAACACTGTTACAGGAACTGGCCGACGCCGCTAAGCCCTACGCACAGCTGATGCGTATAGACCGACCCATCGGGACATATCTGCTCTTCTGGCCGTGCGGCTGGAGCATAGCTCTGAGTGCTGACGCCGGCTGCTGGCCAGACTTTTCGATGCTGGGACTCTTTGCATTGGGCGCATTGATTATGCGCGGCGCGGGCTGCACCATCAACGACATGTGGGACAAAGATATCGACGCAAAGGTGGAAAGAACGCGCACTCGTCCTCTGGCCTCTGGACAGATTACGCAGTTCGATGCGATTGTATTTCTCTCGGCGCAGCTTAGCCTGGGTTTGCTTGTGCTGGTGCAGCTGAACTGGCAGTCCATCCTTCTGGGCGCCAGTTCGCTGGGTTTGGTAATTACGTACCCGCTGATGAAGCGCGTCACGTACTGGCCCCAGCTGGTGCTCGGCATGTGTTTTAACTGGGGCGCCCTGCTTGGCTGGTGTGCCACTCAGGGAAGCGTTAATCTGGAAGCCTGCCTGCCACTCTATCTATCCGGTGTGTGCTGGACCATTGTCTACGACACCATCTATGCCCACCAAGACAAGCTGGACGACTTGCAGATAGGCGTCAAGTCGACGGCGCTTCGTTTTGGAGAGAACACAAAAGTCTGGCTCTCCTGCTTTACAGCTGCTATGCTGGCGGGTCTCACCTCTGCCGGCTATGCCTGTGACCAGACTCTGCCCTATTATACCGCAGTGGGCGTCGTCGGAGCGCACTTGGTGCAGCAGGTGAGTACGCAATGGAGTGGAATATAATAACGGTAAAATAATCAATCACTACTCCTCAGATCTACTCCCTCAACATAGACAATCCCAGTGACTGCGCTAAGAAGTTTCTCTCCAACCAGCAGGTGGGCCTGATTCTTTTCCTGGGTATCGTGCTGGGCACTCTGCTGAAGTCGGACGACAGCAAGAAACAGAGCAAAGCGACGCTAGCACCTGTGACAGCTCCATCATATGTACCTTTACCCCAATCAAAGCCGGACGTAATCAGCTGAATGGTTGTGTGGCTGTGGTGTTAATTTAATTTTCATCCTTCATTTGCGGGTTCGCTCTAGACCAAAGTCTGTACATAGCTAAATAGTTTAATTATTTTACGGTTATATTTTGTAGAAGTTTTAATGGTATTTAATGCAATTTGTTGACATTATTCAGAAAATCGCCTCGGGGAAACGTCTAAAAACATGTGTTGCTCATTCGCTTTTAGACTCATTCGGCCTTCAACTTTTGTAAGCAAACTGGTTTCTGTATTCAATTCTTAATTGTTATTATTAATTACATATACAGATTGTGGTTATGTGCTGTATGTGAATTACGCTTCTAATGTATTCATTTCATTTGTCGTAGTTCATAGTTTCGTTACAGCTAAGAAAAGATTGTTTGCCGTGGTTCAAATGTTAAATAAACTAGGGTTAATAGAATTGGGTATTAGATTAAATCAGCCACATTCATGGGCATCTCGTCGATTTGCGTCGAGTAATATTGCTCAATGTCACGCAAAATGCGAATATCATCCGATTTCACAAAGTTAATGGCAACGCCCTTGCGTCCAAAGCGGCCCGATCGACCGATGCGGTGAATGTACAGCTCACGATTGTTGGGCAAGTCGTAATTGATGACCAAGGACACCTGCTGCACGTCTATGCCGCGCGCCCACACATCGGTGGTGATGAGGACGCGGGACTGGCCGGCACGGAACTCCTTCATGATCTCGTCACGCTCCTTTTGTGGCATGTCGCCATGCATTGAGCTGACCGTGAAGTTGGCCTCGCGCATTTTCTCCGTCAGCCAGTCCACCTTGCGCTTAGTGTTGCAGAAAATGACTGCCTGGGTGATGGTCAGTGTGTCATAGAGATCGCATAAGGTATCAAACTTCCATTCCTCTCGCTCCACGGCAACAAAGAACTGTTTAATGCCCTCCAGCGTCAATTCATCGCTGTAATGAAAGCGGGATTATGATTATATATGATTCGGTACGGACGTAAATATTTATATTTTATTACCGTTTGACCAAAATTCGAATGGGATCAGTCATGAATTTGGAGGTCATTTCCAGAATTTCATGGGGCAACGTAGCGGAAATGAGCACCACTTGAGTAGCTGGCGGCAAATACCGATAGACATCATAGATCTGTTCCTTGAAGCCCTTGTTCAACATCTCGTCTGCCTCGTCGAGTACCAGCATCTTGATGGCTCTGCAAAATGCACAAACAATACATGTTAGATATATTTTAATTAATAATATATTCCACAGCTTACCTTGTACGGAGGACACGTCGCTTGATCATGTCGAAGACACGACCGGGTGTGCCACTTACTATATGCTGGCCGTAATCCAACTTTCGTATGTCCTCGCCCAGGTTTGTACCGCCAATGCAGACATGGCACTGGACGTTCATCATGTCACCTAGGGCTAGAATAACCTTCTGGATTTGAACAGCCAACTCGCGTGTGGGGGACAAACACAGGACCTGTGTTTCACGCAGCGTTGTGTCCAGGCTTTGTAAAATGGAAATGGAAAATGTCGCTGTCTTGCCTGTACCGGACTGTGCTTGCGCGATAACGTCGCGTCCTTTCACAATTGGCTTTATGCTGCGCTGTTGTATAGCAGATGGTTTTTCAAAGCCTACATGTATATTAGGATTAATAGAGGGCGATTCTTTAGGCATACACACAAAAACATACCGTACGCATAAATGCCGCGTAGCAGCTCCTCCTTTAGGTTCATGGCATTGAAGGTGGGTATTACCTCCACATCTTCGCTTGTCTCAAACTCCACATTCGAGAGATCCTCGGCCTGTGCATTTTTGCGCGCCATTTTCGACTTGAATGTGTTCAAATATTTCACAATAATATCTTTACCAAGAGCAACACAAGTTTTCTAAATATTTTTTCTACAACTTTCATGCGGCTTGGGGATGGAAAATTGATACTAGTTCAGCTATCGATAGTGAAGCGTCGATATATCGATAACGAATTTGAGCAGCACTTTTGGAGCTGCCATTTTTTTGCTCATTTTTCGCATTTAGGCGCGCATTGCCTCATTTAAATGTTTTGTTGCTTTTAATATCAAAATGGTTAATTATAAATAACAATTAATAAACCGATGAAGTTTATATAAAATATATTAAATTATTTATCATAAAATTAAATTATTAATTGTTAATCATGGTTTATTATGTTTTGACAAATTTCTTAAATATCCGTTGAAATAATTTCAAGTCTCTCTTCTTAAGTTTCTTTGTCTTTTGGAACAAATTTCGTGCCATTTCTACACGCTGAGTGGCTTCCACCGCTGCAGTCTCCGCCTTTTCGGCAATTTTTTCGGTTCGGCAAAGATCTGTTTTGGCCTTTTCCATGCACTTTTTTAATTCCTCCTCTCGCTTGCTAACGTTCATAAGTATCATATACTTTTCCCGTATTTCAATATTGGCACAGGCCGCTATTTCTTTATATCTCTCTAAATTCGCCTTCGAAGCTTCTAGAAAGTTCTGCATGACCTCTTGATGATTTTTAATGCTTGCAGCGATGCGGACAATTGTATTTATGTTGCATTTGCTACTGGCCAGAGCCTTCTTAACCTCTTCTATGACAGCATCGGCTTCGCACTGACTCTGCTCTAGTTGCTCGAGGAGCTGCTTCTTGCCATTCAAAGCCGCTTCAGCCGCTCGAGCAGCCTGCTCGGCCTTGTCGGCCAATCGATACATGGCCAGTTGTCCGGCCTCTTCACCTGCACACTTTTGGGCATTTTTGGCTGCGCTAGCTTCGTCCGCTGCCGTTGCGGCCATTTTTGTGGACTTCAGGTTGAACTGACAGCTTGCTTTGGATGACGGATCTTGCTCCTTACTGCAGGACGGCTTACGTTTGTGGTGTGCTCTGCTCGCCAGTACGATGCTCATTATACATATCAACACCAGAGGCTCGCAACGCATTGAAAATTTGTCATCTTACATAAATCTCCACGCTCGTCTGACAGCATCCCTTATTTGAATACAAAATATTATCCGACCTCATTCGAAACAAGCTTTGAAATTGAATATATGTACATACATATATAATGACTGCTAAGGCTGTAGTGCTCCTAGTCCTAGTCTGTCTGCTCTGTCCTTCGGAGCCGCAAACTCTTGGCCACAGCATAGGCAAGGTAAGAGTCTTAAAGCTACTGTTTCTTTCTAAGCTGGGAAAATCGAAAATTTACGCCTGTCTTAGAAACGTTCTGTAGCCTCGACTAGCTTACTATACGATGACGGGCGCAACAATGCTAAGGAAGGGTGTGGTAGGAAGGACGAAGGTTGCCACATAAAACTATCTCCGAATGCGGCCACGAGGCAAAAGGCCTCTTGCATTGCCATGAAAGCGGCACAGGAAGCGAAAGCTGCCTCAGATGCCCAGTTGCCAGCCGCGGAAAATGCAGCGCTTCAGGTGAAGATTCAGATGGCCGACAAAGCATTGGCAGCAGCAAATGCTGCAGACGCTGCTTTGGCAGGTAAACTGCAAATCGTTGAGCAACTGGAGTCGGAGGTGCGTGAAGGCGAGTTGGTCGTGGAGGAAGAGATGGGTTCGCTGCAAGCGACGCAGAGCAACTGCAACGCAGCCGCGCAGGCGGCCAAGCAGGCCGGCGTACAGCTGAAGACCCTCGGCGAGGCTGTCAAGAATGCCCAGGCCAATGTGATCAACTCGGAGCACGCTGCCAATGGCGCCCAGCAGGAGCTGACCGAGAAACAACAGCTGGTCGAGGCGGCCAAAAAGCGTGTCGAACTGCTCCTCCGGCAGCTCGATGCTGCACGAACCGATTACCGGAACACACAAAAGGCGGCCGAGCGTGCCGCATGCGCCGCCCAGGAAGCCAAGCAGCGCGCGACGCGGGAGCGACGCAAGGCTGAGATACGCAGCAAACTGCATCAGCATATGCAGCAGTAAATCAAAGTTCAAAGTTCATGTTATCATATATTTTAATTTTATTAACTGTACTTTATTTTATAAATGCTCAAGTTTGATTTGCAGCAGAAAAATGTTACTATATCGCTTAGAATGGCATTATGTTTAATGTTTAATTTTAATCCATAGAGAGACATCTACATTTTGGCCAAGGAGAGCGTGCTAGTGCTGGTCATGCTTACAGAGTCACCCGTAGAGGTGCCTGCCTCCAATGAGTCCACCGATTGCGACAGATCTGCGGCATTGGGCAGTAGCTCCAGGCTGAGCGCGTGCGTATTGTAGCAGAGCACCAGCTTGGTCTTGAGACCCTCGAAAATGCTAACCACACTCGGCTTGAGATTGAAGAAGATGATCTTCTGACGACGTCGCTGGAAATCTTCCACCATGGAAGAAATCACCTTGGCCGCCGTGAAGTCGGCAGCGAAAATGTACGTGCAGTCGATGACAATGGGCAGCGTGGTCTTGCTGCCGGACTTGAGCACCATGTTCCTCACGAACTCCACCGAGGGGAATATCAGGCAGCGATCGGGCGTAATCTTTATAAACTTAATGCCATGCTCCGTCTCCAGCTGCTCCAGCGTGACCTTGGGCCGCGCCGCATGGTAGAGTATGTAGAGTTGATTGGCTCCGATTGCCACAACGATGCCAATTTCCAGAGGCAGCACAAGGCAGGTGACGAACGCCAGCAGACCGGGCACAAGATCAGAGCCTGTAATTTGAGAATCAATTGAAGACAATTTAAGACAGCAATTCAGGAGTCGAGCTCACGTTTGCTGCGCCACATCGGGCCTACGATTTGGTACTGGACCTGGAACACTACGGCCGATATGATGATAGCGGCCAGGACGGCTTTCGGTATGAAGTAGAAGTACTCGGTTAGGTAATTGATCGACAGCACCACTATGATGCCAATGTAAAGATTGGACATGTTGGTGCGACAGCCGCTGGCATTGTTGACGGCGGACCGAGCCAGGCCACCGTTGCTCCGGTAGCCACTCACTAGGGCCGTGGCCATGTTGGCCACGCCGGTGGCGAACAGTTCCTGGCTCACATCGATTTGTCTGTCCTTGGCAAATGCCTTGCAGACAGACACGTTCTCCAGCAGCGCTATAATCGGCACTATAATCAGCCCAAAGCCCAGACTCTGCACCATCTCAAAGAAGTTTTGGCCTGGCACTGCGGGAATGCCGGCTGTGGCATTGCCCGGCTGCGCCTCGACCGTGAAATTGGGCAGTGAAATGGTGGGCATGCCAGGCGGTATGTAGCCTGTCAGTCGAAAGGGATTCCTGTCGTTCGCCTCCAGGTACATGGCCACCAGAGTGGCGCCTATGACAACCGTGGCGTTGCGGGTGACGCCCACAAATTTGATGATCTCGTTGAGCACGCGCTGCAGCTGGCTACGTTCGCACTTCTGCTTTGGGCCAATGCGTATTTGGCTGAGGCTGCGTATGGCCAGCAGGAGAATTAAGCAGCCGCAGCCCAGACAGCAGTCCCAAATGCGAAAGTTATCGATGTCGCGGAACATGCTGATCCAGCTCTGCAGGAACGAGCCACCTTCACTGTTCACGCCCAAAATGTACTTCATCTGGGATGTGAGCACTATGAGGGACACGGCACTGGTGAAGCCAGCGCTCACTGGGCCCGACACAAACTCCACCAGGGCACCAAGCTTGAAGATGGCCATCAGAATCTCAATGAAGCCGGTGAGAAAAGTGAGCAGCACCGAGTGCGCCCAGGAGCCGTGTGCGAACTGGTATGTCATGAGCGAGGCCACTGCTGTGCTGCCAATGGTATTGTCCTTGCACGTGCCCAGCAGGACGTAGACAAAGCAGCCCAGGAAGGAGCCGTAAAGACCAGACTCTGCGGGCAAGCCCACCACGCCCGAGTAGGCCAAACCCTGCGGAATGACGGTGAGGCCCACAGTGAAGCCGGCTATCAAATCCCCAATGGCATCCTGCCTGTTGTACTTGGGCAGCCACTCAATGATGGGCAGGCGCTTCTTAAGCGTCTTCATGCGACACGCATTCCTCGCATAGCTCATGCAACACGAGGGCTCTGCCTCATGCTCCTGCCTGGCCGCCTCCAGTTGCTCCAGGCTCTTGCTTTTCGAGGTGCGATGGTCTGTGATGAGTATGCAGTCCGTTGAGGAGCTGCGGAACTGCGCCTCCAGACTCTGACTCACTTCCGCGCGCTTGCGGAAGGTCACCTCAGTCTCCAGTGTGGACATTGCGGTATTCCCTTTGATATGATACTGTGTAAATCCGGTAGCTGCCTCCGGCTGCTAGCTTGGCTATGCAGCGACTGAATGATAGCGCCGGATGCTGGGCACCTAAAGCGCGATCTTATCGCGGCCACCGATGTTTGCCCTGTTGAAAAATGTGGAAGCGGGACGCCAGTTGTTTGTTTCGGCCACACGACTTGCTCTTGTTTGGCTAGCCATTATCGACCAAATCAACTGGCACAGGTGTCGTCGGTGATATTAATTTTTCCATGACTCAATTGTAGACTGAATATCAATGACAAATTCAGTGAGCAAACATAGGCAGAATTCCTATCGTATCTTTATCTTAATTTGGATTTAATAAATTTGATTCATTTTAATAAATTAATAAACAAAATTTGATATAATTTTTTTTTTTGTTTATTTAATTTTAATGTTTTTTTTCATGATTTTTAAAAATTGTATTTTAAAAGCATCGCATTAGATCATATAAAGTAAGATATATCATTACAATATACAATTGTATCGGTTTTTGTTTTTATGCGTATTTAAAATTAAAATTGTAACATTATGTTTAGGCAATTTCATAATTCAATAGCAGTAAATTGTTTCAGAGACCATGGCTATATGTATATGTATCATATATAATTATGTGTGTATATATATATATATATAAGTATAATGTACTCGCATGTATGTATGTACGCGTATGTGTATGCATGTAAATATTTATAAGCTCAAGCACTTGCCATAATCTTTCGAACTAAACGAAATGAAACCAAATTAAATTTTAAATTTAACCGAATCAAATCAAATCGTTATCAAAAATTACAATTTGCAAAATGGGATGGGCACGTGTGAAGCTGCAGCGTAAATAACTGAACAATCTAAAATTGACAAATTTGATTAAGGAAAGATTTTTTTAAGGTTACAACACGATAGAATTAAGCTGCTTTGTTTTGTTAATTGTTAATTTCAACAATACCAATGTCTAGATAAAATTAATTTAAATATATCATTGTGTGTGTATGTGTGTGTTCTTTGCTCGACAACAAACATTTGCATAACTCAAATAACTAGCATATGATAAATGAACACAAAGCCCTTATGCGGACAGTACAAAAAAAAAAAAAAAAAAAATTATTGTAATTGAAATAAAATTCCATTGAACGCAACAAACATTGAAACAAACGAAAAGTTGGGCAACCAGCGAGTGGCACAACTTTCGAATAAAACAGCAACAACAATTGGGACTATCAACTACATAATCGGACGCATATATGTATAGTTCATATCAGCCGGTATATCATGTACACATATATGAGTATGCGATAGGCATCTGCCCGGGGCTGCCAGAACGTCTCGGTGCCTACGGCCAAACGCCAATGGTATAGTTCCTGCTCAGATGACCCATGCGCCGCTGACGACCAACTGCAAAAGATATAGCCATAAATTGGGATTAGGGGCAATTTTTCAATTATATAGTTTATAGATAAGTTAAGAGACATATGTAACACCAACAGCAGAGCAGGAGCAAGAAACTTGTTAAAAATGTATAAATAAATCGATGCATGACGCACGATTGATACACTTGCAGTTGATATCAAGTGCCAACATTGGGTTTATCCATTATCTATAACTATATCGAAGTTGTAGTTAATGCTAAGCTGAGATATCAATATTTACTAAGCTACTTATGGACTATCAACGTGTTAACACTCGCTTTCAGCAAGCGCTGCTCTAGCTTAAAGATACTTATGTGATGTATCTATCAGATACTCGGATACGTACTGCATGTTAACATCATTCTTCGGTGTTAGTTTTGCGGCTGGTTGTTGGGTGTGGGTCGTTTTAGGTGGTATTGTAGTTGTTGTTGCTGATATTGTTGTTGTTGTTGTTGTTGGTAGTAGTGGTGGTGGTAGTGGTGTTGTTGTTGTTGGTGGAGTTGCGGTTACACAGAGTTACAAAAAGGGGGAAAATCACAAGATGTTGTTGTTGTGGTTGTTGTTGAGTTGAACACACAGAATCGTTGGCGCACATGATGCTGCTTGTTGATTTTGTTGTGGTTGCTGTTGTTGTTGTTGTTGTTCAGGTGGTGTTGCTGCTGCTGATTCTTGTTAATTTCGTACATAATTGGACAATAAAACAAAGACACAAATCACACGCTCACACACAGAAAAGGTTGTTGCTGTTGTTGATTGGTTGCTTGGTTGGCTGTGGCATGTTTTGTCTTTTTATTTACGCTGATTGAGGCGGTTCACACGTACTGTAAGACAAAAGAAAAAGATAGAGAGGAGAGAGTGGGAGAGAGAAAGAGAGAGAAGAGACAAATACAATGTGATTAGTTAAATGGCAACACTGAACAGAGGAATACAAATTATTATTTAAGTTAAGGTTAATCAAAATATACAACAGGTTGTCATAATTTCAATCAATCAATCAATCAATCAATCTTTGGGTACAACATTCAAGGCGTACGCCCATTGGACTTATGTTTTAGTAGTCGGGACAAAAATTCGCTCGCAAGTCAAGAAATGTTTGAGCAACAGAGTCTTAGGATCTAGGGGTTTTTAATTGGGGCTGGCTTAAGCAGAACTCGGGTTGGGATTTGCATTAGTTGGGCTTGTTTAAGATTAACGCTGGCAGTGTTAGGCTTTTGTTTACTTCTTTTCTTAGTCTAGAGTTGTGGCACAAACAAGCAAACAAACGAACGAACAACAAGGAACTGAGTAAAAGTTTTGGATACCAACTGTTCGACATGGCTTGGCGCTTAGAGCTTTGCTAGATGGTTTTACAAGTGGATTCTTGTTTATCTTGTTGCGGTTGTTGTTGTTCGTGTGATGCTGCCTTTATTGAATTATAAAAATTGCTTCGACATTTTGGTCTATGGCATTTATATTTTAATTTTAAATATATATTTTTTTAAATCATTTTATATTGCTGTTATTTGAGGCTGTTATTTGATTTATTTGTGTTTTTAGTTTCACTTAAAAATTGTACATCGCAGTTTAATTCCTATACGAAGAGAAGTTTATTAGAGTTCTGTGGATTGAACAGCGACTTCTGTTTGGGTTTAGTCAATGCCAATGGGATGAGTTTTAGGTAGTTTCGGATCAGGAGTTGTGGGCGTGTCATGCAGCATGGTAGACGGGTTAACAAACATGCAATTCTCAATTTAAACTTATAATAACATTTCAGTTCAGTTAATATCGGATGCATGGCTTAACAAACAAAGTACAAAAAGATCAGTACGCTTAACAGTCTTGAGTTATAATTGATTTTTTCTTTCTGTTCTTGTTTTGTTTCAAAGGTCAATTAAGATCTTGTAATTTTTTAATATTAATATGCATATATACTAGACCGCAGCATTCAAATTCGAAAATGCTTGTGTGGTTAGACGATATTGTTGTTTTTGTTTTTGTTTTGCGATTATAAAGAAACATTTTACGTGGAATTCGTGTTCATAGATACCTGTGTTAGAGATTAGACAAAATTATACACATTACGTCTAGAGTTTTTGCTGGGGTTAGATGCCTTGACTTTTGTCGTAAATCAGTTTCAAATATATCTTCTCTCTATATATGCTTGTATCGTAGATATATTTACATATTTGCATGTATCAGTGGTTCGTTGTGCGCATTATAGATATGTGTATATGTATGTGGGTGTATATATGTATATGTATATATATAATTTATATATTATTTACTTCTTGGTCTCTCTAACGCATTCAGATGCCAGCGTTGCAGCTGCTGCTTCTTTCTTTTCTTTTATATTCTTCTTTTTATATATTGTTTACACGTTTAATTTACAGAGATTAAACTTGTTGTTTTTTATTCGTTTTTTCTTTTTTATTTTTAAATTTACAAAACTCATTAAAAATGTTTAGTTTAGTTGCTTTGATTTGATTTTTTAGCATTTCTTTCTTTTAGGTTTTTTCTTTATTTTATTTTATTTATTTTTTTGGTTTATTGAATTCTTGTTGACTTTCTATGCAGATTATTGAAAAATCTGTACTGCAGGCGTAACTCAAGATCTTTTCTTACTGTAAACGAGAAACAGAGAGACAGAGATAGAGAGAAAGAAATAGTACACAAAAATGAGAATAGACGAAACACACAAGAAACAATGTAAAGCGCTTTGTTGAGTCGATCTTCTCGACTCTTTGACTGTCTGAGAGAGGGTAATATTGTTGGTCTGTTGGTCTGGTGGTCTAGTGTCAACATAAGGGGGTAGAGCACAAAGAGTAGACTGAGTTGGGGTAAAAACAAGATACAAGAACCGCTCGTCTGCTCCTAGAGACTTTACTGGGATGTTAGTAGTGCATAGCTAATGCTGATGGATGGCCGTGTCCCAGTTATATACAATATGGATCAAAATGCATGAGCAGCGCTGCTGATAACGACGACAACGATCAGGTACAGATAGATTTACATTTGTGTTTTTTGTTTGTTTTTATATTGGGTTGAGTTTGAGTTTTATGTACACGTTCTTGGTCTGCAAGACGTTGAGAGCTGGCTCTGACTATGGACAGAACGAGCCCTTCTTTACACCATGGCCAAAACACAAAATGTTGGTGGATCAAGAGGCAACAACAACAACGTTACTACGAAACGAGGTGAAGCGAGGTGAGAGAACGAGAATTGATCGAGTGGCGGCTGTTTGACTGTCTGTACATTTTTGACTGTGTCTGGGCGAACTCCGCTCCGGTGTGCATGGTGTTGGTGGTGTTTTCTGTTGGGTGTTGCTTGGTGGGTTCACTCACGTGTGCGCTTGGTAGACGCCCTCGTCGTCATAGTTGGGCGTCACGGCCCGACTGCCGGGCACCACCATATTATCGGGATCGATCTCTGGATCGTAGGCATCGCCGCCGCCGCCCCGTATGATCATATTATCCGGATCCACCTCCACATCATAGTCGGCCGGCGGCTGTGGCGACGGTGATGGCGATGGCGACGGCGAGGGCGTTGCCGAGTGACCCAGATCACGTTCAATCTCCATGTTGCTGGGCAATATCAATTTGGGCAAATTGGGCTTAAGTTTTTGCACCCGGAAGACTGAAGATCGTTTGGAATTTTTGTTGTTGTTGTTGTTGTTGTTGTTGGTTGGTTGGTTGATTGGTAGCGGTAGTTTAATATACACAGAGGACAAGTTGAGTTGTGGGATACAGTTTGATAGTTTCGGGATTTAAATATAATATATAACAAATAATTGATTAATAATGCTTTATATCGAATCGTACTGTAGACAAGTTGTCACACATTCTATGGTATATACAAGACATAAAGATTTCTCACTGTCGCTAACGAGGAAGACACAATACAGAGGAGTTATTGAAACGGGGAACTATACACACAGACATATATGTATGTATATGTATATGTGTGTGATGGGGCAGTGGAAATAGCAAAATGTTTACGTGAAGAATGATATTCCCGTACAGCTGACTTAGTATGTAAAACTGACTTAGCAACACTTGATACACTATATATAGTAATTACATTAATTTAGATCTACTGATGACAATGTGTAAGTTCTGATCGAGTGAGCGATCGAGTGAGCGAGTCAATGTGTTCTTAAATAAGCTCGACTTAGGCATATGTAACTAGATTTTTGACACTTGGTGACGCAACGCAACGAAACGAGAGGTGAAAACGAGAACGAGAACGAAAACGATAACGAGAACATGAACGCCACGAACGCTGAGTGGTGAGAGATGTGCTGAAGTATTAGGCTTAACGACTGGACTATAAAGAGATGCCAAAGACGTCGGGTGGGTTCTCGAAACGATAACATTTTACCTGGTTATCACACGATAGAAACAGAGAGAGTGGGAGAGAGAGCATATCAACTACTTTTTGGTTACCAACGCCGTTTGGGTACTGAGAGAGAGGACATCCAAGCTTAGATCTCCTTCTCATTCGCCGCGCGCAAGCGGCTCAGGGCAGCACGGGATGTGGAGGCCTCGGCTGCGATTCCAGTTGTGGTTGATGTGCCTGCCATGGAAGTCAGCTGCAAGTTGCGCGTAATGCGCCCTGCTGGCAAGACATGAGCAGAATCTGATGCATTAGTCCAGGTGCGAGCCTTCACGAACTGCTCGAAAGCAGCCAAACTCTTTGCCTTTGAGTGCGATATGGTTGATGCGGATGTAGATGGAAATGCTGATGCTGAAGTGGATGGGGATGACGGTGACGAAGCATCGGCGTGGAAAGCTAACGTACCTTGCTGCAATTCACCTAAACGCGAGTGAGGTATACACGAGTCATACGTGAATAAAGGCCTATATATATATACGTAATTTCATTATATCAAGAAATTCAAAGGGATCGCGAGCCTAGCGAGCAGAACCAACGCTGAGAACCTGCAACCATTGTGCGTGGGGGGAAACAGCTGCCAATGGCAGCGACCAACTTACTTCTGTCGATGTTGCGCTGCAGATGGGCGGCCACGCGATGACGCGCATCGTTGAACTCCAGGTGCAAGCCGAGTCGCAGTAGCGATGGGTTCTTCTCCACCAAGTTGGTGATCTCCATTTCAATCTTGTTGCCAAGCACCGCAGATCGCTGCGTCGAGCATAAGAGCGGAGTTAGTTCTCGTTCAATTGAACTGAAAATTCAATTGAGCTGTCGCCACTTACCTGATTGGAGGCCCTGAACTCTTCGATGGTGTGGCATTTGAGCAGAGCTTGCACTAGTCTGACAATTACGGGCGGACTGATAAAGTTGGTTTCCACATTTAATACTCTCAGGGTTTTGCTTTTCTCGATCGCTTCGGCGAGCAGGAGAGCTGTCTTATCGGTCAGTCCGACGTTTGTCAGCGATAGAACTTCCAAATGTTCATTCTGAGGCAGTGCTGCAAAGAGCTGTTCGAACTTCTCATCCGATATATTCTGGAGACAAAGAGATTCATAGTTAGCTCATACACATACTTTTAGTTTAGATCGTGAACTCACCTTAATGTTATTCAAGTTCAGGTCAACTAGCTTGTTGTCGTCATCCTTGACGCGCTTGATTGACTCATCCACATCTGTGCTGTTGGGCGGATCCATGGGGAACAACTTCTGCTGTGTGGACTTTGTGATGCCATCCCAGCCCAAGCCAACCGGCTGGCCCTTGTTCAGCAGTGAGGCGTGGTACTGATCCTGGTTCATCATCGAGTGGAAGCCAAGAATGGCAGCCAGGTCGATAATTTCCTCCTGGGTGGCATCACTGAGAGCATGCTCGTACTCCTCGCCCATGTCAATGGCGATCTGTTCCTCCGCCTCAATGTCACGCGCATCCCTTGGTGGTGGCACCCACTTCTTGCCGCGCACCTTGCCCTGCACATACGGCTCAAACTCCGGCTGATCGGGCGTCTCGATTGCCTGCTTGTTAATATGCTCGATGAGCTGTTTGCGATTCAGCGGCCCGGTAGCATCCTTGGTACACTCGTAGCTGCAGCGCTGATCTGGTGGCAGGAAGTTGTCCTGAAAAGTCAAGGATTCGTTAAGTTCAGGATATGTGAAAAGAGATCCAAGTCATTGCTTACATCGGGATCAACCTCTTTGGCCAGTATGGTTATCTCCTCGGGCGACAGTTGCGCCAACAGACTCTCCACATCCACATCATCGTATTCGCTCAAGTCCTTGCCGTACAGCTTGGCCGGCGTAGTGAGCGTTGTTGTCTTTGTGGTGGACGAAGTCTGCAAATGTTGAAATTATTATGAAATGAATGGATTTATTTACAGTACTCCATAATTAATATTCATTTCACACATTCTTGAGCAGCTTTAGGGTAGCCGGCGGCTGTGGTGCACGCCGCTTGATCTTGGGCACGGGTCGCAGCTTGATCTTCTGAAACTCAGCCACTGGCTCGGTGCTCTCCATGGCGGGCTCAGCGTGTATTATGACACTTATTGCAAATCAATAAATGGCGAGCCACGCAAATAAAAATAAATAAAACTTAAAATAAAACACAATGCAAATCCAATTATGCAGGTATAAACTATGCACCACTGACGCTGACGCAGACGCAGACGCAGACGCTTAATGTGGTTGGATGTGTCCGGGACTGGGGCTCAGCAGCGACTGGCGCGCACAAAGCACAAAACACCAAATTAAGGTGCAACACGGGCCGAGACAGCAGCAAGACACAACAAGAGTCGCAACAGCCGTGCAACATTTGCTTGACGCGCGGTTTGAGCCAAGAGCAGCAATCGCAACTGCCAGTCAGCCAGTCAGCCACACAGTTAGTCAGCTAGCCAGCTCGTCAGCCAGTCTTCGAGTCAGTGAGTCAGTGAGACTCGCTTCAAGTTGGCGTAATCGACAGTCGGTGGCAATGTAAATTAGGCGCATACATTTAAAGCTGCAGCGGGACCGGCGGGGGCAGCCAAGTGTGGCACGTTGTCTGCACTTAAATGACTTCCACTCTAAAACGATGCGCCGAGCATGAAATCGAAGCTGAACAAAAACCCCCAGCCCAACTCTTGCCAAGGCTGAGGGGCCATAAATAAACAAAAGTAACCAAAGTAAAGCAGCCCCTAGCGATTGATTTGTTGTGGGAAAGTATTGCGCAGCTTTTTCTCTCTGTCTGAGATTTATCGCCAGCGCTGGCATTAATGTGGCAATTGGAAATTAAAATAAAACACAAAGCATGGCCAAATGAATAAGGCTAAGCACAAAGCTGTCGTTGGGCAGCCAACTTGGCCAAGAGCTGCTGACATAGGGACACGAAGTCAGTTAACTAAAAGACACGCGGCCAGAGGGCCAGCAATTTACATAAAATAATTGTACAGCACGCTGAGTGGGCTCAAAGTTCTACCAAAGCGTGACCCAAACAAACAAACCAACTGAACTGAACCGAGCCGAACCGAACCGAACCCAAGTGAACCCGCCAGAAAGCCAGCCAGCCAGCCAACGGACAAAAGCCAAATCTAAAGACGCTGCCAAAACTGGTTTCAGAGGGCAGCAGCAGACCAACTGACGAGTGCGCCAGGAAGCGAGACTAACCACATAAACCACTTTTCGTACTTTGCTGCAACTTCAGTGCGCCATTTAAGTGAAACCGGTTTCGCTATAAAGAAAACAAGTAAGAGTGCTATAGCCAAGGAGTCCACAATCAAGAGATACTCCGCAAACAGTTGCAGCAAGTTGTGTCCACTCATATATATGACAGCCTGATCTGGCTATGAATTTTGTATTTTACAGAAACTGGCGAAAGTCCATTTTATTATATTTCAGTCTGTTTATATTTATTTATTTAATTAGTGGGTAATTCAATATTAATTTGATACTAAAGTTAGTTCAGTCTATATTAAATATAGGTATAAATAAAGGAAAACAATTGTGAAAACTATATGAGAAACAAACAGGAAATATAATATGCCAGCTTTCTCGATATATCAAGAAGCATAATATGCATAGAGTTACTTCAATCCATTAATTTTTAGGGCTAGACAATATAAAATTGCTTTACATATGAAATATGAGAGACTAAATCTCAGACTGTTTTATTCTTTCATTTTTATGGCCTATAAAAAACACTTGATTAGCTAAAGGGAATTCGTAATCTAGATAAAGAATTTATGTTCTCTTATTATGTCACATTTGATCTCTTTTCAGTTTAATTACTTTTTGACAAGGCATACCAAAAGCTCTGCAGATGCTGCGTCCAGATACAGAGATACGAAGTACAGCTAAATGCTGTCGATTGACCCACTTTAAAGTGAGTGGCATGCATTGAAGCAGCAACAGGGCACAGATAGCAGTCGACGAGATATTATGTCAGGCAGCCTCTAACGGCAAACGACCAACGGACAACGGACAACGGAGAACGGAGAACGGAGAGCCAAAGCTCACAGCATGTTGACATTTCAATTGAGGGCAGACTTAGATTAATTGAAATAAACAGTTTTATTTCGAGGCTGCCAGCCACATCAATGACGCAGCGAATGCCACGAGCTGTGAATGGTTTTCAATTGTGGCGCCTCAGCTGCGCCTAGCGCCGAACGCTTTAAACAAGTCGTACAGTCAGTCAGGTTAGTATTATAGCTACCGCAATCGTATCTAACACCACGTTTCACGCAGAGCAACGAATTCTCATTAAAAATGAAAATAATTGCGAAAATAATTGAGTTCATGGCACTCCCGAGACTCAGGCACTCAGATAGGAGGCGCTGCTAATAATTTACATCGGAAAAGCAGGCACGGCCATTTCCAGTGAAAACGAGAAAAACAAAGACCAAGCCAAAGCGACAAACTTATTTTTTTTAATGCAAATTTATCAGGACTAGGAAGTATTTGATATTATTATTTTTATATTACAATTTTTCAGTTGGCTCAACGAACATTAAATTCATTCTTTAAACAGTTCTATAAGCTCGGTAATATAGAGTTTTATATGTATTTAAGAATAAATTTTTACCAATAATTATTTTGAGAACTTTTTACAATATGTATAAATTGATTATTTATTTTTTATTTTAAATCTTTCGATTTTTGTTTTATATATAAATACTTATATATATATAACGATAAAATTCAATGAAGACAATATCTCTCAATACCCACTATTTGGCATAGGTAGAACTTTGTGTACATATTTTCGCCTTAGCCCTTTTTAAACGGCAGAATTTCTCAAATTTCTTATACACATATGCAAAAATTGAGGGTTAGGCCGTAAAGGTGTATACAAAGTTCTGGCTAAGCCAAGCACAGTTAACCATATTGAGAGGCTAGCCACATTTCAGCACTTGATAGCTGAAGGCGGCACTATCTATAGCGGAACGGCAGCCAGTTGTAGTGGGGCTTGAAGACGCACCCACCATGCAAATGCACCGTAAACAACATAAGCAAGGTGGCGTAACGAGATATGTACTAGTATATACATATATATGTTTTGTATCTGACAGATACGATGGAGCGAACAGTTGTCAACATGCTAGGCGGCCAATTCGCGAGTTGAGTTACGTATTTAGCGGATCGCTTTTAGCATAGCTCATGAATTGCAACGGGCCTTGAAACGGGAGCAGGCATTGAGACGTGTTTAACCAGATGCAGCTGCCACAGTCCACAAACAGTTTGCAGTTCGCAGTCCACGAAATGTGCGAATAACAAATATCGAAACATGTCTAATGCTGTATTCGGTGATTTGCAGATTTGCGAATGTGTATGAATGTGGTGGTGCGAGTGGTGGCCAGTGACTGGCAAGTGGGTCAAGGTGCTTAGCTGATTTAATTAAGCGGCACCAACCGCTTGGGACTCGTTGTGGAGATCACGTTTTTCGAGCGGAAAATCCGCAACAAACAAAAAAAAAAACATCATGAAACGCAAAATATTCATATTGCTCGGCCTTTCCGCTTCGGGCTACAGGTGAAAAGTTGGCCGGGTCGTAATCGCCGCTAATGACTAATGGCTGGAAATGTGTGAGCACGCCCAAACATGGCCAAATAGGAAGTGAGCCGTGCCGCGCCGTGCCGTTGAGGATGCGCGCCAGATGCTGCGCGAATACCAGGAAATTGTACGTTCTTGAGCGGAATCACATTAGAAAATACCAAAAATCTTAATTATCTCGCGCGACGCGCTCGTCACTCAGGGGTTTTATGGCCGGAAAGCATTTCTGCAAATTAGCATAGGAAATTGCAGGGGTAACAGCAGCAGCAGCATGTGTCTGGGGAAATGGTTTTTCATGGTTAAGATTAAGATTTGAATAGGGTGCATGCCACGGACATGGTTTCACCTCAATGACACACACGGGACTTAAGGTAAGCTGTTGCTTTGTGTATGTGTGTGTGAGAGATTTTATTTCTCTTCTCTGTGTATTCAATCTTCGACTGTTTGTAGCTGCCAGAGACTGTTGACAAATGCAGCTTGGGTGCTGGTGCTAGTTGAGCAACATTTTAGTGGTTTCCTCCAAGCTAGCTAGCATTTGGTATCTGCTTCTGGTCCCTAGAGCTCCAGCTCCAGCCATTGTGACCGCAAATCACATATTCAGTGAACAGCAATCTGCTCTTATAGCTTGGCAATATTTTATGCAATTTGCATGCCAGCGATAAACCCAGAGGGCGGGCTCTATTGCTGCAGCTGACAGCAGACGGCAGCCTGCAGCGGCTGCCACCGCAACTCCCAGGGCAAAGAAAAAGTCGACAGAAAATATGTAGAACTTGGCCCTGGCACTGGCTGGAAAGTTGAGACCACATTGGTCATTCTAAAGCAGCGTGGAGTGTCGAGTGCTGAAAACTGAGAGCCCGATAGTTCCGTTTCAGTGCACTCGCATCGGATGGTTTGCCGCCTGATTGGGCACGCACAGCCAGCGCTGCTGAGATCTTGGCTAACAGCAAAGGCCACTTGGCATTAGCATCGCCAACGCCATCGTCATTGCCATTGCCATTGCCATTGCCATTGGCGCTGCAACAAAGTGGCAAATTAACAACGGCCAAAAACAGCTAACGACATTACGGACACTTGTGCCCAAGTCGAGAGAATGGGCCAAAACTTTCCTCGACTGCGGTTCGATTTGTGACAAAAACATTTACACAGCTGTTGACCAAGCTAAAACAAAAGCGAAACGCGCAAGAAATTAGACTTTCGCATAATGAAGATTTAATACTCTTCTAAAATATATATCAAAGGGGATTTATATAAATAAAAGTTATTGGACCATAAGGTCTGTCACTTTAGCCCAAATGAAGAATTTTCATATACA